GTAACTTGGGCAGTAAACAGGTAAACACAACTATTACATGAATCTGTGATGCCCAGGCCAGTGCTTTCACACTTTCACGTGCACATAAACCGCACTGGGATCTCGTTAAAATGCAGATTCTGGTTCAGTCTGGGGCAGGGTGGGAGACTCCACAGTTCTCTCCAGTGACACTGAAGAGGCTAGTCTGGGCTTCACTTGATGGAGCAAGTTCCTGGGTGCCACCAGGAAATAACCAACACACACGCTTCATTAGAATTCAGGCTTCAGTGATTTGGATAATAGGTGATGATGAAGAGAAAACCACAGGCCCCAAATGGTGTCACTTGTGATAAAGCCCATGCTACTAAAACCACATTTAATATCTGACCTAACTGTTGAGCCTCTTCCAAAATCTAATCTTAATTAACCAGTCTGAAATTTCCCGGCCAACACCAATGAGGTAATCCCTCACACTGGAAACTCTCTATTCTCCCACAGAAAGAAGAGGCATTTGGCATGATAAAACCCCAAAAGATGTCCTGGCTCAAAAGTAATCCTTTTCTTCTGTTACTAGCCCCCTTGTCCCGCCTCTTCCTACAAAAACATTCCATCTTGTACGGCCCCTCAGAGCTCCATTCCAGTTGCTAGATGGGGTGCTGCTGAATTCATAAATCTCTTAATAAAACCAGTTAGATCTTCAAGTTTACTCAGTTGAATTTTGTTCTTTAACACGAGAAATGTGTTTGATCTGAAATACTAATTAGGCGAATTTATTTCTGACTCTTTGGTAAATGCTCCATTTGCCAAAATGAATGGCACATACTCATTCTCAGGGTTACCTATCTTGGAAATCTTTTTAAAAAAAGAAGTTTCAGGTATCACAATGTCACCAAAGAGAAAACTGTACAATTCTCTAATGACATCCTCTTGCCTGCTAGGCGCAGTAGCATAATTCTAATGTTGGATTCCTTCCCTTTCTGCCCTTTCCCCAGTAATGAAATGTGGGAATAAATATTTCAGGAACAAGTCAATAATTTTGTGAATTCTAAGATGGCCCATCACAATAAAAGTTACAACTGAAAAAAAAAATGGGCTTGGTGCAAGTTGAATTCTGAGAAAAGGATTTTGAAACTAACTCTCTGGCAACCTTCAGAATGATGTGCCCTGTAACAGACGGAAGACTTTTGAGAAGCTCTGTCATTGTTACAATTTCATCTGAGTGTAGACAGCAAAGGGAAGAATGAACTGCTAAGCCATGAGGATTGTCAACATCTCTGTCCCTCCTTCCTTGTTGTGATCATGGGTGTTCCACGATCCGGGTTTACATGTGCCCCAAATTGCCATAAGAATGCTAAAAATTACTGTCTCCAAAACTGGCTCTGAGCTTAAATAAGTTTGGAAAGCTAAGAGTTCGAGGATTTAACCAGCCTCTAGACTGCAAGTCTTCTCAGAGACCTTAGCATGATAATGTACATTGGAACGCCAAGAGGGGGCCACGGCGCATAAGCCTCTCAGTCGGATTTGACCAAGGGCTTTGTTTCTCAAGAACTTTCTCTTGGGATAAGAGAGGTTTGGCAGACTCCACCTTGAGAAATGCTGGTCTGCAAGAGCTGGGACAAAGTTTGTCTTATTGACTTTGAATTAGACTATCTTTCTGTGGTTCCATAGTATAGCGGTTAGCACATCTGCATTACACGCAGAAGGTCCTGGGTTCATGTCCCAGTGGAGCCATGGTCCATGGTCTTCGGCCATGCCACCCTGAACAAGCCCTATGTCTGATCTTGGAAGTTAAGCAGGGTCGGGCCTGGTTAGTACTTGGACGGGAGACCAGCTAGGAAGACCAGGTGCCATAGGCATTAAAAAAAATGTTAAAAAAAAAAAAAAAGAATATCTTTCATCATTCACAAGATGGTGAAAATGAATGTTGGGTGTATGTGTGGGGTGGGAGTTTCTAGAAATCTCTGTGGTTAGTAAAACCCTTTGGGCGAAGTGAAGGTCTCACAGACAACGGGGATTTAGAGGAAAAACAAGGTAACGAAAGCCATTAATACTTATAAGATATTAATTCCCAAAAAACCATATTTGGACGTCTTCAAAATCTTCTCTGAGACAAGTGGTAACATTTGTCTTTTTTGTACCTCGAAATTTTTGTCTTTTATATGAGAATCGTAATATTTACCTCACAGGGTGCTTGCAAGGACTGAAAGAGACAATGCATGCAAAAGCACTAGCACCTGTAAGAAGCCCATAGATGGTAGTTTTGTTCTCATGGAAGTGCCCAAGGTGGCATCTTCCCTTTGCTGTACAGGTTTTCAAGGAGGTGGTGGTAGGTTCGTATCAAGGTTATTTAAAAAAATATGCATGCTCAGGCCCCTACTCCATATTGAATCATGATTTAGTGGTGGTGATGGAGAAGGAGGCATGCACATTTTAAAAACTACTAGGGGCAAATCCCTAAGTTGTCATCTCACCTCTTTTGCATGGTACTGGGGTATGTTCCTTGGAATAAAAGGTTTCTGTTGTTAAATGTTTAGAAATGCTACCTCCTGGTAGCTGGGCCCTCTCCTCTTGGGGATTATCAAGTATCTGAGAAGTCCTGCAGTACAAAACATTTGCAAACTTGTAACCTATTACCTTCTGATCTTACCTGACCTTGAGACGGGTGTTTATCTTGCAACTCTCATCAATGTTTTCATTCCACACATTTGAGAAATACTATAGATAGAGTCAGCCAGAGAGAATTCTATCCACATTCAGGAATCTTTTTGCACTAACGGCACAAGGGAGAAGCAAGGTAGCAAAGAGCAGCCAAATTCTTCTTTCCCAGGGAGCTGGCTAAGCCTACTTTTATTCCTCCTGCCACTTGCTCCTTATATGTAGAAAGAATATTGAAAATGATAGATGTGTACTCTCAAATAAGCATCTCTGGGTAATCTCAAGATAATAGTCAAAGGGCCGGGAGATGAGCTATTGAAACCTTAGGAGCCGAGATTCTGGATGAACCCGGCTTTGAATCCTGGTTCCGATACTTAGCTGAGTGACGTTGGGCAAGTTACTTAACCTTCTATGCCTCAGTGTCCTTATGTGTATAATGGGGACAAAAAGAGCACCCGTATCATTGAGTTTTTGTGAGAATAAATGAGGTAATCATGCAAAGCCCTTAGTAAGGGCTTAAGAAAAATATTACTACTACTATTATATAGAAATGGAAAAACGCATGAGCAAAGTGAGGTGGGGGGAATCAAGAATTGAAACAATAGAAACTGTGGAAAAATTCAAGCTCACATAAATCTTCCTTCTTTCGCAAATGAATTTACTTTTTTTTTTTTTTT